CCATTCTATTCTTTTCTATTCTATCCTATTATTATTATTCTATTAAGAGAAACAAATCCCCGAGCAGGTCCTGGCACTGACACCCCTCACAGCCTCTGTGCCCACAGCCCCACGGGAGCCACGTCTAGGGCCTCTGTTCTCTGACGAGCCCAGATGCTCCTTCTGGAGGCCTGGCAGAGGGCTCAGAAAGCCCTAGAAGGCCCTGCTCTCCTGCAAACTCAGGTTGCACACTTGAACCTAAGTGTGCAGGAAAGGGGACTTGAGCTTCCCTCATCTGGAACCCTGGTGACCTCAAAACTGAGCTAGCCCCTTGTGATAACCAGACTGAGTCCACTGGGGTCTCAGGGCTACTCCCCAGTCTCCCAGACAGGGGTGGTCCCTCAGACCCTAATACTCACCAAAGGCGGCCCCGATGAGGATGGCACAGGAGAGGAGACCGAGGAAGGCCATGGTGGTGAGCAGGAGCAGAGTGTGGCCACCTGCTCTGGGCGCCTTTTATGTCCATGGTGTCCCCAAGCCCAGCCCAGCTCCTCGGGGCCTAGAGGACCTGAGGCCTCCCTCCAGATGTCATCTTAGAATCTAGGATGAGCAGGTGCCACCAAGCATGTCCAGGCCTGTGCCTTAGCCCTGGACAGCCCAGGCCAGGAAGAGGGCAGCAGCCGCTCCCAGACACCCCTCAGCTGTAACTCCTGGATCACTGAACCCTTGTGGTCAGCTCAGGGGTCCTGGCCCCATCATGGAGGCTGCAGGTGCTCAGCTAAGACTCATAAACAGGGAGCCTCCCTCAGGTGTCGTGGGTACCCAGAGCCGAGCACCCAGGAACTGAATACCAACACAGACCCAGAGCCCAGGATTCAGGCTACTTCTCTATCAGCTCAGGGATACACCCTAAGGCATCAAGAATTCACAAGATCAGGAAGAGGCTCTGGTCCCTGCTGGGGGGGGGGGGCTGAGACCAGCCTAAAGGGCAGTTTCTGAGCACTTGAGGACCAGCGAGCATGGCCTTGTCAACCAAATTCTTTGCCTCTGCTGACTCACAATTGGTGAAGTA